TTGCTAGCTCCATGTTGCTGTAGGTAGGGACGCTGCGCAGAGGCTAGCGTTGCCCTCAATTATAAATCCGTAACTCCACACGTTACCGGTGTCTCCGAGCTGCTGGTCCTCGCACTAGGACGCCATCCCACCGCTACCACCAGTTGTGACGGAACGCTGGCACTCCGACTGAGTACCTCCGCCAATCGATGCTCCTAGTGCTCGCTGAGGACTCCAAGCACTCCAACCGACACCATCAGCACTGCAGACCCCACTTCCAGCGATGCAACTGCGCCGGGGTCTCTGCTGTTTTCACCCACCCTGGACCCAAGGCCAGGATCCAGCTTCCAGTGGGTGAACCTCTCTTTCCCCAGAGAGCAGGAACAGGAACAAATCAAGCTATTGCAAGAGCTTCCTCTGGGGAGTAAGTGATTATAGCAATCCCCAGGGTGTAGGTATCCCTTCCCCCAAACATGAGCCAAGGCTTAATGCTGGAACAAGACTGATTTACTGGCACACAGAACTCACAATTTATGCAACACAAAACTCCTCCTCTGGGCCAGGCTAGATAATTGAGTTTCCACAATACACAAAGCTCAATTATCTGCTGGCCATAAATAATAGTTTCATAAAACACATCACAGGGACCCCAAAACATGCATACATAACCCCATAAAAAGTATATCCTTGGAACCGGGGGATCTGGGTGAACCACATATCCAAAATTCACCCAGATCCGTTCAGTACTTTGGAAAATACAGTTTAATGCAGATTCTGCAGAACATATACAGGCTAAATGAAAAACAATCACTGTATAATATGTCCCCTGCTGTATAGTCCAAAATCACTGCACGATGTCTCTGTGCACCAAATACTGGCAAGATGGCACCGTGTTGAAAAGTCCAAACAGTGTCTGTGAGTTAAAATGGCCGCCATCCATTGTTCTCACCATGTGCTTCTGATACAGGAAATGGTGGCCACCCAGTAACTCCACAGTATGTCCCCAGATGGTTCTTAAAGGGCCAGCAGCAGCACAACACAAATCCATTATGCCCAAATCATGTCTTTAAAGGGCAATACATCCCAGGGGCCATAGTCACAGGGCAAGAGGCGGGCAAGCAGTCCTCTCCAGGCACAAGTGGCGAAGGGTACTTCGTCACACCTTCCTACTGGGCATTGCTATAAGGAAGGTTAAAAAATAGGAAAAAAGGTGGGGAGGGAGATGAGATGAGCTGACGCACAGATGAGAAATCATATTATGCGCAAACAGAGAAGTCGTCTGAATATCACCGAAAGAGGAGACCTTTGTTTGTTCCTTACGAAAATCGAACCAGATATCAAATATTTAGTCTTGCAGCATCAGCCTCAAGGATCTCATTAATCACTAGTAAAGGTAATTTCAATATACTTTATTGTGTTCCAATTAAACTTTATAAAGTTAAAAACATTATAAACATGCATTAGGTAGAAATAAAAAGATAAATGTACGTACATTTATTTTTTTTTAAAACACCCTCCTTTCTAAAAAATATTCTGCACTTGCGCGAAAACTGGTGGGCGGTAAGGAAATGTTTCCATCAAGAAAGATGCATTAGTGGGCGGTAGGTAGAAAAAGGTTGACTACCACTGCTCTAAAGTATCAATATCCTTCTGAAGATACGGTCTCCAGTATTGCATACAACACTCCAAGTGAGGTCTCACCAGTGTTCTGTACAATGGCATGAGCACTTCTCTCTTTCTACTGCATTTAATACCTCTCCCTATACAACCAAGCATTCTGCTAGCATTTCCTGCTGCTCTATAACATTGTCTGCCTACCTTTAAGTCATCAGAAATAATCACCCCTAAATCCCTTTCCTCAGATGTTGAGGTTAGGACTCTAGCAAATATTCTGTACTCTGCCCTTGAGTTTTTACATCCAAGATGCATTATCTTGCACTTATCCACATTAAGTGTCAGTTGCCACAATTCTGACCATTTTTCTAGTTTACCTAAATAATTTGCCATTTGGCTTATTTACAGTACAATGATC